TAGGCTTGTGAATCTATACACCTTGCAGTGTATTGGCTCTAGCACTGGCCTACTGGCGGCCTACTCGTTAGCAAAAAAGCCTGAACTCAATTAATTCGCGTGATCCAAGGTTCGAGCGACTGCGCAAGAGCTTCGTCGAGTTCACAGTGGCGCACCCCTCGCGTAAGTTTCGCCATGAAAAAGTGGACGTCAAGCTGCTCCTTGAGCGGCGTGACGAGACTTATGTCGACGTGGCCCAGGTGCGTTCGCAGCTTTGTTGATGCACCTGTGGCCGCAAACGTGATTCTGACTGCCTGACTGCACGATTCCTACCCGGTCAGGTTTTCGTATGGAGGTCGCTGAAGGCCTTTTGCGACGCCGAGTATGCAACCATGTCGTTCAAAAACGACATGCAGCGTCGAGCGTTCTTGCTACGCTCCGGGATCAAGCTGCAGAAGGACGACCGAGGAGTCGAGGGTGTGGCGGTCCCCAAAGACGACAACGGGTCTGAGTCCAAGGAAATCAAAATCGGAAAAAGGTTGTCTGCTGCGAAGGTGCGACAGCAGGACATGTCCGAGGGATATTCCAAGGAAGCGATCAAGGAGCAGCAGAGGAAGAATGCCCAAAACTTGGTGGTGTCCAGCAGCACTCAGGCCCCAAGCAGTGGACGCTGTAGAGTCATTCCGAGTCGCAGTACGATAATGTGCCTCGCTCGACTTGAGTACTTCAATCTTATTGCTTCGTGTGCTCGCAGGCTGAGATCGACGCGTCCAAAGGCTCGATGGAGGAGGATGAAACGGCCAACTGCGAAGAGGAGGATGATGCTGCAAGCAGCGCATCTTCGCAATTTGGGTTGGAGGCTCCTGCTCCAAAGCGCCGTGTCCTGTCAAAGAGTAGCGGCGCCCAGCCGTCAAAGGCAGCAGCAAAGAGTAAGGCTCTCCGGCCAGCAGAGGGTGTGGCCTCCCCGGGTCGAAAGAAGTTTGCAGGCTCTCCGAAAGGCTCTCCTTTGGCTTCTAGCTCTGCTGCAGTGTTGAGGCTGACTGCTTCTGTGGAGGCTGCTCGGAAAGCCTTGCAGCAGCTGAAGCAAGTCAACGTGGCCAGCATCGCTAAGGGTACCGTGAAGGACTCAGAAATCAACAACCGCTTGAAGAAGCTCGTGACGGCCCAGACACAGGTGGAAAAGTTGCTGGATGAGTTGAGCGCTGAAGAGTCGACCTCTCAGGCAGCTGGGCAGGCGAGCAGCTTCCTCGAGGATGCCAAGACGTCTGCCAGCAACATGTCGAGTTTGACCGACTTGTTGGCAAAGTTGAAGCGGCCAAA